CGGGAGGTGGCCAAGTTATTTATAAATTGTTTTTTTAAAGTTTACTTATAAGTTAGCTCTTTAGAAACCCACGATGCACTTCTCCAAATGAATTTACAGTAGTGTAAATTAATGCTAAGCTGTCAGGACTTGCTAAGCTGTGCAGGAGTCTCTGCACCCTCACCGTGAGCAGCAGCAGGTGCAGCAACCTGGGTTTTACAGGCCTTGTCTGTCGCCAAGGTCGCATGTGGCTTTGGGTAGCAGTGAAGAGCATAAACTCTAGATGGAGAAGGACAGAGATAAGTTCAAATCCCTATTTATCTACCTTCATGTCAGTGAGGTTATTCAACCTCTTTGAATAAAATTTGCATGTTAGTCAAGTCATACTTGGAGATGAACATTTTTTTGAATCAAATGTTTGCTGTCAATCAGTTTTCACACCCCCTTTTCACATCATTGCATACATAAAGAAGATAATACTTACACTGGACTCTGAGGTAAGATGCTGAACACAGCTAGAGAAGATCCAGCCCTCTGGTCTCTGGCCACCCCAATCTCTCCCTGGAGGGCTGAGGTCAGTATCTCTGTCATTCCTACCCAAGTCATGAATGTGTTCAGTAACACCAACAGTGAGGCTCTGATTACCAATCACTACACCCCGGCTGGGAACCAGCACAGCATGGACACTCGCACCTCATGGGCTCAGGTTCCAACTGTTAAATAAAAGGGTGACATGGACTTCTGAAAGGCCTTTGGACAATATAATTCCACTTCATGTTATCCTAGAACCTAACTGGTGCTCATTACAAAGTGTTTTTTGGAAAACATATTATTCCTGTTTGGATTGTTGTAATTGTTCCAGCTCATGGAATAGGAGCGGGTATCAAGATGTGAACTGGGGAGGCAGATTAAGGTGGAGGTAGGCACAGAAGTAAGTTCAGGAATGATTCCTTACTAAAGGAATGTCTGAGTACTCATCAAGCAAGGAACTCTTCATGTGTTACCTCAATATTCACAGCCATGTTGGTTTCATTTTGTTTCAACAAGAAAGCTACAAAGTGTACTGCTCACATTTAATAAAAAAAGGATATAAGGTGGGTTCAAACATCCTCCTCCCCCAGAAAGGGAATCAGCAACCAGCTGTTCAGCACTGGGGCTGGCTCTCTGCTGTGTCCCCATTTGGGCTTCTCCCCAGTTCTGGCGAGGACACTTCCTACTTCAAAAGCATCTTGTTAGTGGGCTATTATCAGCCACATTTAACAAATGAAGAAATGTTGGGTAAAGGGAGTGTAAAAACCCGTCCAAGGTTATGCACTACGATGTTCAAACATTAGATATTCTGCTGGTTAATCGGAGGTTCAAAATGAAAAACTGTCGGGGCAGAGGCTGGGAGTGGAGCTAAGATACGTTCTATATTCTGCATCCTTCATCACTGAGGCTGGTGACAGGGGAGGCAGGATCCTACCCCTTGGCTCTGAAGGGGAGGGGGAAGAGAGGAGCTGGGAGTGGCAGTTCTGCTTTTCCTGATAACCAGGGAAGGCAGAGGTGGGGAGCCGCAAGTCTAGCAAAGAAGGACCCACAGAGCAACACAGGTCTGAAGAGTCTTTATCACTCAGTGTAAACTCAGGGCCCCTCTCACCCTTATCAGGGGGAAAAGAAAACTTCCCACAAAACACCACTTTGGGGTTCACGACAAATATATTTTGGATGTCTTGAATTAGCCCTTCATCCTAAAAAATGTGCTTTCAAGGAATTTTCAAACACACACACACACCGACATCATAGAGGGACCTACACCAAAGTCACCAGTGCCAAATGATGTTAAATGAGTGTACAAGAAGAGAGCCCTGGGTGGCACCACTGAGTGAACTCCTGCATTCTGACCACAGAGTGGGTGAGGCAAGAAGGCATAGAGGTAACAATGAACAACACTGACCTCAGAGGATAGTATAATTTGTACAGAGCACAAACAGTACAGGGAGTATGATTTGCCTTAATAATTCAATTTTACATTTGGTTTTTCAAGATCTGTCAGGGATCAAGGCATTCATACACACATACATAATATACGCATTCCACGTATTCAAATTGTCTGCAAGAGCAAAGGAAAAGATTCTACAGATCTTTTCTAAAAGAAACTGATAGAAAACTATACTGAAGCTCCCCCAAACCAGGTGGATCAGGGTCAGAAGATCCTGGAGACGCATCAGGATTTACCCAAAATAAACCTGCCTAGCAGTGAAACTAACGCACCCTTCCACTTAAGAGTTACGCAGGCATGCTTCAAGGTAAATGATAATAAAGGATTAAGTGACCCTCAAATCATTCATTTCAATCCAATATTATCCACATAAGGTCTTTTTAAAATTTAACTTTGCTTTGATGTTAAATTCCCAAAGGGAGAGAGAGAAACACCCACTAAGGAGGTCTGGCAAAGAATTATTTACCAAACTCAGTCATACAATGCTTATGAAACCATATAAGATAGAACACAAAGAAAACATTGGATATTTAATTACTCAGGAAGAAAAAGGTAAGGAGGAAGGAGGGAACAGAGTTAAAAGCAGTTTTTAGACTTTCAGATACACAAGCGTGCTGGCAGGCAAAACATCAGGGCAAATCTTCCTCTGGGTTTCCTCTGAACACCAGTGGAGATTTGTCTAAGGTGGTGTAATTTAGTGTAGAGGAAACTGTGATTGCATCAACTTGGCCTTACCCTTGGCCTGACTTTACATTGCTCTCCAGAGATCTCACTTGGACTGCCCTTAAGTACGCTGCTCCAGAGAAATCTGCCCAGTGTTGTCAGAAACTGGCTTGTAAGTTTTGTTGCTAATCCTACTTTATGATTTTGTCAGAAAGCATTTGCAAACACTTATAACTTTGGCCGGCTCTTTTCCAACTGTGGGGTTTGGGGTTTGCTTTTAATAGCTTGACTGTTTCTGCTTTCCACTGCATTACAACATTGTAATAGCGAAATCACAGGTCTGTAGTCTGTGTTCTCTCTCCCTCCCTCCATTTCTCTTCCTCATTTCCCAGTAACATCCAAGATTCCTGTCCTCTTGCTGTTCTAGCACCGCTGACTTCTGTCCTAGTCCTACTGTTCTAGACCTACTGTCACAAGGTCAGACTTCATCATCTTGGGATATATTTTCTTTCAGAAGAGGTAAGCATGACAATTTTACTTTTCTGAGTTTAAAAAGAAAAAAAACCGTGCCGTTCTTAACAGTTTTGGCTTATATTCTCTGTCTATTATTCCCTTTCCTCTATATTTTAGGATAAGAAGAGGTTAACATTGAGCAAGTTATTCAAGAACCACCAGTTACCAGTTCTTACTATGATCCCCTTTATATGATATTCTTGAAATGACAAATTATAGAAATTGAGAACACGTGAGTGGCTGTCAGGGTGGCAAGCAGAAGGTGGGAGGTAAGTATGGCTACAAAACGGTAGTATGTGGGATCCTTTCAGTGGAATTGTCCTGTATCTGACTGTGATGGTGACCGCACGAATCTACACCTGTGATATAACTGCACAGAACTAAATACAAACAAATACACAGACACAATGAGGGACTATAAATCTGGTGAAATCTCAGTAGGGTTGCTAGACTGTATCAATGTCAATTTGTTAGTTGTGGTATTATACTACAGTCTTGCAAGATGTTACCATTGGGAGAAATCGGACAAAGGATACAGGGTATCTCCCTATCACTCCTTTAACTACCTGTGAGAATCTGCAATTATCTCAAAACTGAAAGTTATATAGTTCTTGTTTACTCTAAATGTCCCATCTCTCTAGTGTCTCTCATCCATTACATACCTGATTTCTTTCATCCCCAATCTTGCTACTTTCTCTAGTTCTAGTTCCAATAGCAGAAAATATTTCATTACAATTAGTAGTTTAACTCTTATTTTTTAGAAACCCTTATTTATGGTTTATTATTCCTAACTGGAGCATACCCTTTGGAGATGGGTCTGTGTTTGAATATTGACTCTTAATACCTTATAAAATAGCCAAAATACTTCCTGAGTCTTGGTTAACTTAATACTAAATGGGAATAAAGTACTAATGTCATAGGTTTATTTTGAAGACATATAAAACAATAAATAATGCACTCAGTACATGGTAGATCCTTAAATTGTTCCCTTCCTTTTCTTGTTACAACTTAAAATCCAGCTTAATTACTACATAAAAACATCGGCAGCAAACTTTGGTTTTAGTTCCACAGCTCATATTTAGAAAACAGGAAATGAATATTTAATAAGCATTTCTGGAGCTTGGGAATGAAATGTGGCTAAATTCAGTTCTTAAGAAGTACTTCAATTTAGGAGAACCATAATGATCACTTTAAGACTATGTTTTCTGAGTTTGAAAACATTCTGGCTATCAAAATGACTTATAAATGTTCAGCAGATCACTCTTCGTGTTATGATTATGATTACCAAATAGACGTTTTGATCTGTAAAAACAGTAACCACTACATACATTAGATTACATCGCTTAAGATATCTACAAATGGGTATAAATGTTGGACAAGCTATAGCCTTAAAAATGATACTGATTCCAAAATATAATTTCACTCACTTCACCTACCTACACAAACACTTTTTAATAATGGACTCCCTACAAGGTGATGAGCTTTAAATGTGTCATAGATTTTTAGTTATAGCCCAACCAATTAAGCTACAGAACTCAGCAGGAACGAAGCACTTAAGATTTTAAATTCAAGCAGGTTGTTAAACATGGGATTCAGAGCAGTCTGCAGGTCAGTGCATAACAGCTGGCTACTCCGAGCAGCACTGCCTGACAGCGCTGGCAGAAACAGAAAGAGAAGCACCACATGTTATTCCTCCTACATACAGAAAATGGACGAAGCAGAGCACGTTTAACTTCTGCAGGTTGGTTATCTGCTCTGTTTGTGAACAGTCACACAACAAAAAAGGCCAAATAACACTTCAGGACAAATCCCTCCAACCTATTTTTTTAAAGTACTGATATAATTTTGCAAAGTGAATGCTTACCGAGCAAAATAACTTTGTTTCCGTTCCTTCTTCTCTTCCTTGGTATCCATACTACACAGTCAAAAGTGCAAAGTATTTGGAAAAGTCCTTTTTTTCAAGATCGATGAGTCATAACCCTGCAACATAAAATAACAAAGCAACTGTGTATTAGAAAGACTGAAATGGCCAGTATGAAGAATAAAGCAGAGCAGAGCTCCGTAGCCCAAAACAAGTGAAAGATAAACTTTAACCAGGAAATAGTCACATGAGTCAAATACAAAATGCAAGTGTCCACGGTGGGGGGGTGGTGGTGAAAGAAAACACAGAACTACAAAGGGAGATGTTAAACTCTAAAGTAAAAGGCTGATGGGAACCTGAAGCATTTTCCTTATAATTAACAATTACTAAAAGATGTGCCAAAATAAAAACCTTCATGGACTTCGTGAGACCATAGGCTAGCTATGCAGATGCTATTTAAATTTTTTTAACTCATAAGTAATTAATAATGAATATATCTCATCATTTTGTAAAATGGCTTGCTTAGGTGTTTTACAAGAATGTTCTTTCTTTAAAAATAAAAATAACCTCAGCACTTCATTTTATTTTCGGAAACGCACCGGCAACTACATCCCACTTGAGCAAATGTGAAAAAAAAAGTACAAAGACTCAGGAAGCTATTGCCCAGAAACTGGTGGAGAACCTACGGCCCTGGGGCCACATGTGGCCTTCTCCATCCTTGAGTGAAGCCTTTTGATTGAATCTAAATTTCGCAAAACAAATCCTTTTAATAAAGGCACAGCATTATATAGAAACAATAGGGTCTAAGTCTTAACTCTTACTAGTTTATCCCCTTGTCCCTGATAAGGGCTTCACTCTCAAAGAGTTTATCATCTGATGGAGAAAACAGGACTGTGCAAATAACTCAACTCTAGGGTGGTAACTAGGAGTTGTTCCTTTTAATAAAGGGATTTGTTCTGTGAAGTTTGGATTCAGTCAAGGTACTATGGTAAGTGCTAGAGAGCAAAGACAGGTGAGACGTGATATTTGCTCTAATGGTGTTTACTGTCTTGCTGGGGAGATTGTCAGGATTTGAAGACAATGTGCTATGTACTATTATGGAGGTGGTGCAAGCACCACTGGGCCTGTAGGAAGAACACTTGAGTGGCTCAATTTTGCTTTTCTGCAATGTATATATTTCAAAATATCATGTTGAACACAATAAATGATACTTTTTTTCAATTGAAAAATAAATTAAAACAACAACAGCAACAGCCCTTACACGGGGCCCACCCCAGGCACTCTGCACCCACAAAGGGCTTCCCAGGTAAAGGGGACAGGGAGCAGATCCAGATTGAACCAAAGCAAGACAAAATAGTTCCCTGCTGTTCCAGGGTAAGTGAGTCTAAACTTCCCAAGTCAGGGTCATGGAAGACCTTCTATGCCATGCTAAGGAGCCCGAACAGTTATGTGCCACCCGCTGTCCACTCGCTTCGCTTCGCCTTGCCAGACGTCACTACGTGATCATCCTGAACTCAGCAGCAGCACTTGCAGCAGCCACTACAAAATTAATCAGTCGTGACATAAAACTGATATTCAAATCCCTGATCCATACGAAAGGAAGTCACCCAAGGGATCACAGGACAGAGTGGAGCAATCAGATTGTGGAGGTAGAGAATGGACTTGAGAGGATTAAGGACAGGGCAAAGTAGACTGGTTAGAAATTACAGTAAAACTAGTAGAAACGGGAGGGCCCAACCCCAGGCAGCAATAGTAGAAACAGAAATAAAGAGTGGGAACAAATTCAAGAAATACCAAGAAAGCAAATGAGTTGAGATTCGCTGACTCATTCAATGTAGATAACACAGGGAAACAAGGAATGAAGAAAAAACAATATGATAGATCATCCTGGAAGCCCCAAAACTACGCACACAGCACCATATAGAAAAATAGGGGAGTAAGTGTTAACTCCTACTGGTTTATCACCAGGTCCCTAATGAGGGCTTCGCACTCTAGGAAGTTTACCATCCAATGGAGAAAGTAAGACTGTACAAATAACTAAACTCCAGGGTAGTAACTGGGGGCTGTCCGATGAATAATATGAAGACTCTTGGAGACACAAAGTTTAGTCATCACTGAGGTGATCAAATAAACCTTTCAAGGTGGTTATAATTTCTTTCTGTTTCTTCTTTTCTGAGACAGGGTCTCTTTCTGTCTCCCTGGCTAAAGTGCAGGGGTATCATCATGGTTCACAGCAACCTCAAACTCCTGGGCCAAGAGATCCTCCTGCCTCAGCCTCCTGAGTAGTTGGTGACTACAGTCACATGCCACCATGCCTGGCTATTTTTTTTCCATTTTTGGTAGAGATGGGGGGTCTCACTGTTGCTCGGGCTGCTCTGGAACTCATGAGCTCACACGATCCTCCTGCCTCAGCCTCCTGAGTAGCTGGGACTCCAGGCATACACTACCACACCCAGCAAATTTTCTTACTTTTGGTGGCAACTCTTGCTCAGGCTGGTCTGGAACTCTTGGCCTCCAGCAATCTTGGGTAGGATTTCAATCAGTAAAGATAAAAGAGCATTATAGAAAGAACAGCTCAGCAGAGGAGTGGAAGTGAAAGGGCAAGGCACATTCCAGCCAGGAGGACAGAGTGGCTACTGGACAGAAAGGGAACTAACCCTGATGCCTACCTACTATTAGTCATTTATTTCATTATATTATCCATATGTTCTCTCTTTTAACCCTTACAAAATTATGAGTTGGGTGTCCTTACATCCATTAAACTATGGCTGAGAGATCCTAATTAATTTCTCTAATCCAAGTTCAGTGTCTTTCAATAACTTTGCAGCCAGAAAGCATTTGGAAATAAGCTAGAAAAATCAGTTTGGAATCAATAACATCTAATGCCACAGCATAGATTCTATAAGTTAAGACAAATATAGCCAGCCACCAGGAGGGGAGAGGATCACAGAAGACCGCCCACTGGACTATATTACCAGAGCAGTGGGAGGGAGTCCATGCTACAGTGAGTTGAGGGAGTCAGTACTCATTCAAGGACTTGGGTGATGAAAGAGAAAAAGAAAAGCAAAGATAGTACCTGAGCATCTGACTCTGCCAAGTTCAGTCTCACACTACAGTCTGAACGCGCTGGGCTCCTCTCCAACTCAGTACCTTCACCAGTCAGTATCCTCTCTCCAAGCTCCACGTAAACCTGTTATGCTCCTTGTCCTGACCAGGTGCAGCACAAGGCCCAGTCCCACTTTACAGCCTCCCTTGATTACCTGTGCAATCTCCTCCTTAAGAGAGTATTTCACACATCACCTATCAGTTACAAGGCTCTTAAAATCATACACTGTGTGTTACAATGACACTTTACTTCTCCTCCTCAGCCCCAAGCCATGAGTTCCTCAGGTTAAACACTACTGTGTCTCACACTTTGCTTATATTAACACCTCCTTAAATACTGGGATAGAGTAGGCAGAAAATCCAGATCAAAGCTCAGTAAGAAGTTAAATTAATCCAGAATTGGGAAATAGGGTCAATTACATGGCTGACCGATACAAATCAAAGGGTTCCTCACAAATTAAGAGTTACGGCTCGGCGCCTGTGGCTCAAGCAGCTAAGGCACCAGCCACAACACCTAAG